ACGTGCTTTTCAACTCTAGATTGAAACCACTCGGTTTGAATTGAGCAGAGTGTAGTTAAACACATCTGAATGTGGAGACAAAATGTCTTTTTATTGGCCCCTGTATGTAGTGAGCCGCGCTGATGGTGAGCGAGCGGTCGCGTGGCGGCTACTGTCTTTGTAGATTGAAAGTGTTCCAGAAGTATGGCCGCGTTCGTGCTCGGCGTTTGTTATGAAATCTGAACACAATGAAAAAGATAGGTATTGATTGAGATGCTCACTTTGATCAAAATCTGCTGATCATTCAGTTGTGTCTGCTTTCGCGACAACTCCTTCCGCAAAACCTCGGCCTCTCGATTCGCCGCCTCCATCGCGGTCTCATTCTCAGCAAGGCGAATCAATAGCAATGCGTTATTCTGAAAAAAAAGATAAATGAAATCGGTGATGAGACGACTGAATAAACAAACCCAGTGTATTGCCCCTGGGCAAGCATACCACACGCTCTGTTAGTTTTATCCCGGTTGTAGTACGGAGTCTGGTAAGAGGTACCTAGGGTCTGACACCAACTGACAAAACCCACACCGTAGCCTGTTTTGCATGGACGGGACGCGAACCACACTACTGGTTCTGTCCCACTCTACAAGCTAGCTTAACAAAAGTCCGGTCATGAAACGCAAGGCATTCGACGTTGATTGATCGCTTTCTGTTATGCGCCATGCATTCACCCTGCGTTTAGAAACGTAATGTGACATTAGCCTCCAAAGGGTGTGTTAAGTCAGTGTAACCAAGCTCCCAAACGAGGCTAGTATCAGCTAAGAGTTGAGGAAGAAAAAAACCTTTGTTCGCACTTCCCTCAGACGATCCTTATTGCTTCGCCAAACCCCTGTGCTCGAGAAACCCGGTACGACAAAGCTTTTTTGGCGTGGGCAGAACGTTAACCGTGAAATTTATAAGAGCATCTTCCTTCCCTTGAAAACTCAAGTCATACATTTTTGTAACAACCCGCACAGCAATTGGCATTAGAAAATCGCACTGCGGGATACGCCACGCACTCCACTTCCACTTAGATTTGTTGCCGAGTTCCAATGAGATTCGACCAGTACAACTGGTCAAGGAAAAACGCTGATGTACATTTGATCTAATGATCTTTCAAACGAATCTGGTACCAATTAACCGATGCCGGAGTGATAGAAGGCCTTTATTGTGCTGGGCGAGTTCCATCCCGGTACTTGACCCTGGACCAAACGTGTTCTAGGCGCCATTTGCCACTGACCCATCATCAATCGCTGGAAACGAACTGTCGCCAGACTAGGACCTATCACGCAGTAGTTGAGGTCAAGCTCCAACCAGCCTCCAAACGCTAGTAGGACCACTGAGGCTTGATGGGTGAGAATTGGGAAGCGAATACAAACCGAATAGGGTTTGCAGGCCTGCATATAGGCCTAGGAATCCACCTATATTTTCCTAAAATCAGAATCAGATGCTTTGAAAAGAAAAACAGCAGGCTTTCTGCAAATGGACCTCAAATTAGGGAAAATTTCCCGACAGGAATGGGTAAAAATAAGGAATTAAAATCGAATTTCAAACGAAAACAGGAAACCTACCTCTTTTTCAGTTAGCGAATAGCCATGTTCAGTACAATACGCATTGACTTCTTTTCGTAGCTGATCAAATTTAACTTTCGTTTTCAGCTTATACTTATTGAAAGCGGCTTGAAATTCCTGCAAAGGGTAGAAAATCAGCGTTTTATCACAGATAACGGCATTTCTGCGACAATAACGTAACGAGGGAAATTAACGTAGTGAATGGGAACCAACATTGAGCTCGTACTCCTTGTGAGCGAGGCGTTCAGCGTAGAATGCAACGTCGGAACTCATCTTTAGTGAGGCGGTGTCAGCTTAGCACATTCTGAAAACGATAATTCGCGAAAATTCCCGTTTCAAATTGATTTTATCAACAGCAAAGTAGTCCGCAACTGATACCGCAGAAAAAAGATCAGTATCTGATACCGTGGGGAAATCCACAATATTCAAACAGAAATGAAATGAAAAATAAAATTATTCAGAAATGAAAGGAAAGCTGGTCCGTTCTCCACAAGAAAAGACGAAAAGCGGCTACCGCTGGACAGAGGAAAGACGAATAAACTCGCAGGTAAGTTGGGGTTGACCAAGGCTATGAAAACCTGGCATTTTCACCATGAAAGGGTCAGATTTCGAGGCGAATTCGCCAGTTACACGTCACGGTGACGGGCGATAAAAGACGGGGTGCCCGGATCGCCGCCAACCCAGCCGCCGCAGCGATCGATTAGCAAACAAGACGACGGGCTAGGTGGGTCATCCCCAACCCGGTGCTAAACCCCGCCAAAATCTTCGCAATGTTGAGCCAGGGTTACGTGATCCACGCTGATGAACCACGTTCAGTCGCTGAGCAAAACAGGACTAAAACTGAGCCAAAGTTCCACCTGGCAGTTGGGCACAGCTGGCTGGCAGCTAAACTGCAAGCGTTTGTTTTGCTATCTGTTCCTCACCCCGGAGCTCATTTTTATTATCGCTGCACTGCGACAGGGCTTTCAGACCATTTTGTAGCTGAAGATCTACTATTTAGAAAATAAAAATCAGAACAGAATAATTTATTTACATACTAACTAAAACTATTCCATTGAAAAATCAACAATAAATAAATGAGAAGTGCATGTGATAATTTTATAAATAATAATGTAATAAATCTAAAATAATATAATAAATTTAATATGTTTCATTTTAGTATTACTTTCCCCGCAAGCTATGCATGATTTGATGGGGGAAGTGGCATAATGGCAAGTGGCGCGCTTACCACGCGAGCGGTCCGGGGATCAAATCCTGGGTCGTGAGTCGCCCGGGCCAACCAAGCCTTCCATCCCTCCGGGGTCGGTTAATTGGTACTTGTCTGGGAGGATAAAAACACTGACTTGTACATCGGCTGGCCCCCGCAAGTCATTGTATAGGCCACATCGCATTCAAACGCCACTACGAATGTACAAATGGAAGTAGAATGCGTGCCGCATCCCAAAAAGGGATTGATCAACGGCGGATGCTTTACCATTTATGTATGGTGTGAAGTAATTACGCTCAGGATATGTCCATCGTCCATGCGGTCCAATTATTTCTCATTCACATTAATCTTTCACTTTCCAGGCTCTGACGAAGCGGACATGGCCGAACTGTAAGCCCGTAACTGATGCACCACCTTGGTTGTGTCTATACAAGCATTCGAACCAGTACACATAGGGGGCACGCATAGTCGGTCGGACGACAGCAACGATCGTAACTGTCGCACAGCATTG